GATAGATAGATAGATAGATAGATAGATAGATAGATAGATAGATAGATTTATTAATCCAAATTTTGGATGATACAAATAGTCCTTGACTTAAAACAGTTTATTTAGTGACCGTTTCATGTTATACAATGGCACTGACAAAAGTGACTTAGGACCATTTTTCACACTTACGACCATTTGCCGCATCCCCAGGGTCATTGGTCATGTGATCAAAATTCAGATGCTTGGCCATTGGTTCATACTTATGATGGTCACAGCGCAATCCCTTTTTGCATCCTTCTGACTAGCAAAGTCAACGGGGAAAACCAGATTCACTTTGCAGCTGTCTTACTAACCTAACAGCACCAACGACTCACTTAACAAGCATGGCAAGCAAAGTTGTAAAATGGGACAGAACTCCCTTAGCCCTTGTCTCGCTTAACTCACAACGTTGGGCTCAATTGTGGTGGTGAATCAAGGAGCCCCTTAGAAACAAGAGGGAGGTTTGCTTGCTTTTTTGCAACATGCATCCAACACTAGAAGTTTTTCAGAAGAGATTGGAAAATTCAACCCAACCCAACAGGACAGACACAGACTCCAGAGAGCAATTAGGATTGCAGAAAAAACAATGGCTACCAACCTGCCTTCCGTGGAAGACCTTTTATACTGCACAAGTCAAAAAGAGGGCTGTGAAAATTTCTACAGACCCCTCACATCCCGGACATAAACTGTTTCAATGCCTTCCTTCAAAACGATGCTATAGAGCCCTGCACACCAGAACAACTAGACACAAAAACAGTTTTTTCCCGAAAGTCATCACTCTGCTAAACAAATAATTCCCTCAACACTGTTCAACTATTACAAAGTCTGCACTACTATGACTATTAATCTTCTCATCACCCCTTATCACCCATCCCTTCCCACTTGTGACTGTATGACTGTAACTTTGTCACTTGTATCCTTACGATTTATATTGACTATTTCCTAGTATGATTTGATTGCTTATTGTACCCTATGACTATTATTAAGTGTTGTACCTGATGATTCTTGACTCTTGATGAATGTATCTTTTCTTTTATGTACACTGAGAGCATTTGCACCAAGACAAATTCCTTGTGTGTCCAGTCACACTTGGCCAATAAAAGAATTCTGTTCTATTCTCAATTCTAAAACCATTTGGAATATGACAGGTAAGACAATGGATATAAATTAACTGAGCAAACGTGTATACATGTACATATGATATGTATCACATGTTATATTATGTATCACAAAAAGGAATGCCAGGACGATCACACCATGTCCAATGTTTTAATAATTTAATCAATACAATATTTTTGTGTTTTTTTAAAAAGGAAAACCATTTGTCTGAAGGGGTGTAGGGTTTCCTGCCTTAGCAGGGGGTTGCACTAGAAGACCTCCAATGCCCCTTCCAACTCTGTTGATTCTATCGTAAAAAATATCATCGTCTGTGTTTTGAATTAGAAAGCTGGTTCTGAGGTGTTTCTACCATCATGTTTTCATTTAATAGCGCATGGATTCCCACCTGCCGTGATCCACCTAGAGAGGCCCCGTGGCCCATGCCAGCTTCCTCCTTGGCCTGGGGTTTCTTTCCATGAACATTTGGGGGGTGGGTGGGATTCAGAGGGCCACCCGGGCAGGGTCTGTGCCTGAGGATGTTGGGAAGGGGCTGCCTGAGTCGAGCAAGGTCGGCCTCTGCTGCTCCTGCCAAGGAAGCTGAAATTAACATGCAGCTGTGCTTCCCTGATAAATGGATTCTGTTGGGTCACCGAGGGGATGCACGACATTAAGTGATTTACAGCCCTTTCCCTTAATGAAATTGTTTCAGCAGGATGACGCGGAGAGCTTTTAATGGATAGCTTTGCTTGATGTAATGAAATTGCATTCCTTTGGCATTTAATATAAGGTGCAGTTATTATTTACTGGAGCTTTCCCAGTGCTGGGGTGGTTTCTTTTGCGCACGGCATGCAAAACAAAAAGGGAATTTTTTTGGGGGGTGGTGGTGGTGTGATCGCATCCCATCTGGGAGGCCAGAGGGAGATTTTATGAAGCTCCGTTTGGGCAGCCTCATTCCTTAAGGAGCCCTTCCTTTTCCTTTCACCCAGCAGCCTTCCCCCTGCTTCACCTGTCGTCTCCTCCTCTCTTCAATAGGCAACTGGATTTCAACCAGATCAGCTGCATCGAAGATGGGGCGTTCCGAGCTCTGCGGGACCTGGAAGTGCTGTGAGTAGCATCCTCTCTCCTTATCTCAGACGGGAAAGTCAGATTATAGACGCTTGCTGGGTAGCTGGAGCAGCTGAGGGTCACAGAAAGCTTAAGTCCAAAGGGCAGTTCTGCGAGGCAAAGCAAACACCTTTGAAAAGCAGATTAAAGGGTTTGATAGCTCAGGTTTATTTCAGTCAGTGCATTCCCCCTTGTTCAGATCCAACACCGCCCAGTTCTTTATCCATATCATTGTTTTGCATTGAGCAAAGGGAAGCCTCGAATGGACTTAAGCAGCTTCAGGTCCCAGCAAGATATTATTAGCTGGTCCCGGTAAGTGGTGTTTCCTTTCCGACAGATGTGCTTCCCCGCCTATTAAGGATGGGTGTTTATTTATTGGCGAAGGATCTCGAGTAAGATCCTTCCCCAAGCTGCTAGACCTGGAGTAGCTTAACAGAAGTCAGTAGGACTTTTTCATCAGATATTAAGGAGATAACCCCAAAGTATTTCTTGGAAAACCTGCCAGGATGGTAGAACCTTTCTGCAGTGAACAAATAAACTTTTTAATCCCGCAAACTTCTTTCCAACTATTGAGGATGAATGATAGCAGCTGATTAATTTTCATCAGTGAAATAATTTGCATGCTGTTCATAAAACAACCCACCAGTCTGATTTGCATGCTCTTTGGATAAAGAATATAGAGCTTACCGATTCCTTATTAAATATGAAATTTCACTACAAAACATGCCATATGTACAAACCTATGTATATGTTCTTTTTAAGAAAAAGGTCTTAAAAACTGGTTAGGATATCAAGATTTTTCTTAAGCCAGGTGAGATGTTTTTATCTTACCTTATTTCATCTTTCAGGATTACGTTTCAAAATAGACTTTTAAAAAAATATTTAAAAAAATAAAGTATAGAAAGCACCAGAAGTCAGATGAAGATCATGGTTGTCCCAAAAGGGCTTTTGTCAAAAGGCAACTGGATTTTCTTTGTCTTTCCTTGAAGGCATTTTGCTTCCCACCCAAGAACTGAAGAAGCTTCTGGGATGAGAAGCAAAACATCTTCAAGGAAAAACAAATAAGGTCCAGTTGCCTCTTGAAAAAAGTACTTTTGGCTTTTTTTGTGCTGAAAAAAAAAGCAGAAGATTTGGAAAGTGTTTGAAAAGAATACAGAAAGTATGGAAAATACTGCAGCACAATTAATTGGTGGATATTTTTCTCCCAGTTGGTGAATTTGGGTTTTCTTCTTCCTCACTTCTCCTTTTTAACTTGAATTTAGTAATAATGAACAGATACAAAAGATTGGGAGGAACTGTAATTCAGGGCAAGCCTTTGGAAGAATTCAATCTTTCTTCTTTTATGGGACAAATTTGGTTCTTTCAGCTTTCATTTGGAATACGTGAAACCAAATTTTCCCAATAATTCTTCATTTTTACTTATGAAAAAATTCATAAGAATTTCCCCCTTATTCCATACCATTGTTCCTCTACCTGTCTCTTAAAATCATAGCATCCTTGCATTTTTGAGATGTGATGTTTGATTCTTATCATGGAAAAGGCAAGATGGAAATCCTTGCTTTTTGTTTAACTTTGGGAGGGTAAACCCATTTCACTTCAGGTGATATTAATGTTGCTCCATAAATTGTTGGGCTAACTAAGAAAGGGCTAGTTGCTTACTCTTAGCACGGAGATTATAGAATAGATCTCCATGTTAATGGTTGCAATTGCTAGAGCCGTGGGTTGACTTCAGCAATTGCTACAATACTTCATTGTTTTTAAATTTTGAAAATAGGCTTCATTATTTTGCTGAATTCAATCATCTTTTGTTGGCTTTGTACAAGGAGTTTCCTTCTCTATTCCTTTTGGCCTGAATGCTTTGGTCCTTCACCATAAGATTAATCAAATAAAATGAAAATAGTTTACAGTTTTTTTTTCACTAGAGCTGTGGCCCACTTTCTAAAAGTGAAGTGAGACCATGAGCCCAACAGCTTTTTAAAGCAGCCATGTCTCTCTCTTAAAAAGTTTCTGGGTTCCAATTTCAACCTGTTCTGAAACACCTGATCCAAATCATTTTAAAGTACACGTTCTACTTTTTGTATTACTTTAAATATTCTGTATATTTTAAAAATGATTTTTTAACATTAAATTTAAGACATTTCTGCTGATATTAGCATATCTCATGACAGAGAAATATACCTGTATTCAGGTACATGGTTTGAATTTGGCCATTAGTAGCCTCTTTAGAAAGGGCTGGGCATCTGCTTCATTATGGTGGGCAACCTATCTACAAGTTATAGGAAAGAGAAATTCCCCTTGCATTATCTGTAAAGAAATATGTGATGTTTCTTTTACAAAACTTGAGACTTTCTTCCAGCGGTCTGTGTTTTTCACCAACAGCTTATTATCATAACAATCATTTAACTATTGAAACCATCTCTATATGCTGTATATCTATAAAACATCCAGTTATGAAATCAGTGTGACCTGCTTCTTACTTTGCCACTAACTTTTGATTCCGGTAATTCCACCATTGCAGAAGTTTGTGATGTAAATGTTGTGATTATTATTATTTGACATCCGCTTCCTCACTGCTAAAGATCCTATAAAGATTCATCATTTAATCTGAAAGCAATTGTTTGTTTCAAGGAGAATTTACAAAAAACAGCCCTTAATTTAATGCAGTGTTTTTCAACTTTGGCTGCATTAAGATGTGTGAACTTCAACTTTTCAGTGCTGGCTGGGGAATTCTGGTAGTTGAAGTCCACACATTTTAAAGCTGTCAAAGTTGGTAAACATTGATTTAGTGACGATTGAGAGTCTCAGTCATGCAGGTAGTGTTGTCCCAAAGGTGTTTTTTCAAGAGGCAACTGGACTTTCTGGTTTTTCACTGAAGACATTTCGCTTCTCATCCAAGAAGCTTCTTCAGTTCTTCAGAAGTGAAGTTCTTGGATGAGAAGCAAAATGTCTTCAGTGAAAAACCAGAAAGTCCAGTTGCCTCTTGAAAAAGCACCTTTGGGATTGATTTAGTGATAACATTGCTTAAGTAATTAATATTTGACTATGAGAAGTGTGGACTTGTTCTTTGTAAAGGGTAACTCATTTGAAATAAGACTCTTCTACCACATTCTCAGTTGAGTGTGCATTAGAAAAAAAACACCTCAAGAAGTGTTTCCAGTTATGAACCAGGTCTCATAATTTGTGACTGTGTATACAAAAGTGATCTATGTGGATGGTTTTACGATGAGGAACTTCTTAATTGTATCAGGAAAACTGCCATTCTTTTTTTTATATTTAACACAGCTTATGTATTGATTAAAAAAACCCTCAGTGACCAGTAATTCCTAATCAGAACCATTCCTCTGTCCTGATACAGGATTACAATTATGTTTGACATAACTGGATATTCTTACATCTCTTCATTGATCTCTTTAGCATAACAGAGATCACCTTAGAATAATAGAGTTGGAAGGGACCTTGGAGGTCTTCTAATCCAACCCCCTGCCCAGGCAGGAAACCTTGTGGCAGAAAAATGGTTGTCTGATCTCTTCTTAAAAACTTCTAGAGATTGGACAACCACTGGTTGATTGTCCTCCCTGTCAGGAAATTTCTCCTTCATTCCAAGTTGCTTCTCTCCTTGATGAGTTTCCATCCTTTGCTTCTTGTCCTGCCTTCAAGAGCTTTGGAGAATAGCTTGACTCCCTCTTCTTTGGGGCAGCCCCTTAAATATTGGAACAATACGCTATTAAGGGTTACTTCAAGGGTCTTGATAAACAGCACGCTATTAAGGGTTAAATGTCTTTCAAAAATTATTTCTTAATGCTTGTAGCAAGGAAAGATTTAAGACAGATTCACATGGATCGCAGTGACCTGTTCCAACTCAGGTTGGATGGAAGACATCACCCCCTGCTCACCTCGAGGATACCACAAATTATATTTTCATATCATTTGCATATATTTTCATATCTTCTGCTTCCACATCAAAAGTTGTGCTTTCTGCCTTGAAGTGGTCAAGCTGTGCTGTTTGATTTGCCTGTTGGGCTTCACAGCTGCAGTATGCCTACTCCAGGGCTGGTTGCTGCTGTTGGCAAACATTTTTCCCTCTTTGGTTGCTAAAGTAACTGCTTCTCTCAGAACAACCTTCCCCAAATTAAATGCACAAAACCACTGAAACCTGCTAGTTCCCTAACTGACCTAGGTATATGGGTGACATGAGTAGGTTTCTTGTTGTCAAATAAAGCCCTATTTTCTTGGTCATGTTTGTATCTCTCTCTCTCTCTCTCTCTCTCTCTCTCTGTCTGTCTCTCTCTCTCTCTCTCTCTCTCTCTCTCTCTCTCTCTCTCGCTATCGCTATCGCTCTCGCTATCATCTCTCTCTATCTATATCTATCTATCTATCTATCTATCTATCTATCTATCTATCTATCTATCATCTATCTATCTCAAAAATTTAATATTGTTTACAAAGTTAAAACCTTGGTATCTGCACATATCTGCACATAGTAAGTGGCTTTAAAATAAACAGTTTCTGTTTATTTTCCCAAATGTCACTCCCTATTCTCAGTCTCATCCACTATTAGAGTAAAATCACAGTGGCATTGCGGCTGTAAGATTTGCTTGGCACATAGTAAGTTTCTACTTTGAAGTCCAGCAGAAATATTTTTAATTGCTTGATGTTTTTATGTTTTGTTTGTTTATGTTTGTTTTTAAAAACCAATAAAAACTTTTTTTAAAAAAAAGAAATATTTTTAATTGCTACTGTGGTTGTTATAATTCAGCCCCAGGTAAATACATACTATGTTTTTGGTAATATTTATTCAGTTGGGTTATTTCACAACTTTGGTAGCCTCTTTCTAAGCCAGGTATTGATAAAAATATTAAAATGTGTTACTTTTTACTGCATGACAAAAAAATGTTATAGCTACCACGATGCTACAACAATACTTCAGCAAAGTGTTTGTGATTACCTCAACATTGTTAAATTCTCATTCTGAATTTCGAGGTGCTGCTATTTCTAGTTCCAGGTATTTTTTTGACTTTATTTGTTTACATTTATTTTACGTTAGTAGTACTCTGTTTACCAGGTGAAAAGGTTGAGGCACAGGGGTCTTAATAAAAAAAATAAAGATAGAAATAAGCTCTTCATTTCTGGTTTTCAAAAAAGGCGCCAGGTATTCTGCTTTTCTTCATTTTTCTCTTTCCTTCTTAATGATGGAAGGCAATATTGTTCATAGATATAAGAGTAACTGGAGAAATTTGTACCTAAATAAATAAATAAACACATATTGTTGATATTTTGCAGTACTCTCAACAATAACAACATCACACGACTCTCAGTGGCAAGTTTCAACCATATGCCGAAACTCAGAACTTTGTAAGTATTTACAATTTCCTCCTGGAAAAGTGTTGAAGTCTGATGAGTCCTTTTGAGAGACTTTTCAAAAGGACTCATCTGGTTGAGGTTTTCCTTTTTAGAAGCACCAGATTAGAGTTTTGGGATATTCTAAACCTGCTCCCATCAGCAGATAAGAACGGATTTTAAGAAGAGCCACCGTCAAAAAAATGTATAATTTTAGGAACTCTGAAGGGAAATAAGGTTTCATTGAAGACGGAAGAAATTCGCACTCTAGAATGCTTAGAGGTAGCATGTTAATGACATTCAGACCAATAGAAAAATCCTTTCTTTGATAACACCCAGAAGAATCTATGATGGATTGATATTTAAAGTAATATAGATATATTTGATAGAATTAGTGGTATCTTGTGGAAATAAATCAGCTGTGTTTCATTTAATTTCACAATTCCATCTGTGACTGGTTGTCAGGTGTGAGAAATGAGAAATATTTGAACTTTTTTTTTAAAAAAAAAAAATTAAGCCTCAGCAGTGCTTAATTAAATTAAAATATTTTTTCCAGATTCTCCCTAATATAAAAAATATAAGGCCTCTCAACAGTTTTTTAACTGAATCTCGTCAGCATTTGCCTTCCACTCCTGAAGCTGAAACTTGAATGTGAAATACGCCTAAATATATTTGAATAAATTCTGACCCGTGTTAATTTAATGCAGTAGGCAAGGCTGATGCTCCCGCAACCTGGATTTCAATATTAAGCAACAGCCTTTGCTTCCCAAATGAGGAGAGCAGGAAACTGTCATATTTTAACCTTCAATCTGAGTCAGCATTGCAGGCATAAATAAAACCATTTTATTTATCTTGTACTCTTTTGTTCACTTTTCCATCTTGTGCACTGACTTTTGAAACTCTGTGTGTGTGTGTTTGTTTTTTCCCCCAGCCGCCTTCACTCCAACAATCTGCAGTGTGATTGTCACTTGGCTTGGTTATCTGACTGGCTACGTCAACGACCCCGAGTCGGCCTTTACACTCAGTGTATGTCCCCACTACACTTACGAGGACATAACATAGCTGAGGTTCAGAAACGAGAATTCATCTGCAGCGGTAAGAACAGCCGGGTTCTTCCATCATCTCTTTAATAGATTCTTCTTCTTCTTCTTCTTCTTCTTCTTCTTCTTCTTCTTCTTCTTCTTCTTCTTCTTCTTCTTCTTCTTC